ATGGACGAAAGCTCAGCCCGTTTTCATTCGAAACGAGGGAGGTTTCGTGGACTGCGTCAACCTGAACGTCGTATAAAAGTCAAACGGCTGCAGTACAACGCGATTCAGCTGCCCTCATATGGTGAACTCGACATACGAATTTCTTCTTCATGCACTTTCATACGAAATGAAAGTACTCCCACAATGTTATCTCAGGATATTCATCGAAACACAGTTTCTCTTCGTATTATAATATAATCACAAACTATAATAGTATAGCCATTAGCTTTACATGCTGGCATTCGGTCTTACGTTTATCTGGAATAATCATATTTAGGGCTGTAAAATGAAGGAAAATCCAAAAAGAAATCAGTAATTTAGTTGGTTTATAAAAGGGCAAAGCCATAGGCTCAAAAGCCTGTCTACGATATGTTAAACATGGCCTTACACTTGAACCAAAAGATAAAATTAAATGTTTCATTAGCCATTTCAATTCCTTCACTAATATAATACATGCTATTTATACAATAGCCAATTCGATGGATGGGCATGAGGGAAATATGAAAAATAAATCAAGTAGGAAATTATAAAAAGCGAGAAAACAAATAACGAACCACTTTTCCAGCATAGTAGCCACGAAGCAATTTCAAGGCACGGGAACCATAGCCAAGGTTTTGATAATCTGGATGGACCGCTATTCGAATGATACGGGCACCGGAAAGCTCGCCAAACTTGGCTTCACAAAACTGGTTAAAAATGGAGACGTGATTTTCGCTTCATAAATAAATGGATAAAACGTTCAAAGGCTGCTAACCTGCTGACTAACTGTCCAGGGTATCAAATCCCCTGACTCACGTATACCTCTCGAGAGACCTCGCATCACAATATCTTGATTTATTTTACCTTCAAGACATACTTGTAGGACACAAAGTATAACCGGTACCCGACCAGAATGAGGATCATAAGGAGTCAAAAGTGCAAAAATGTGATGGGCAGGCGCATCGGAAAGCATTTGTAAGTCATTAGGTGAATTTTTGTAATGGGATGCGACGTATAATCCCATAAGACGATGAAGAAATGCCTCAGTTGATTTGTGGTAGGCAAAAAGAGTGTCTCTATTGATATAAAAAAGTTGGCAGCGATCTGGAGGTGGATATCTGTCGCCAATAGTTGTTATAGGAGAGGATAGAAGGTTATTACCGCAATCTAGACAAAGGAGATCATGTAACCACTTTTCAATTGGATCTCCAGAAGCATAGCGAATTGCTTCATCCAAAGAGACTTCAAACAAAACTCTAGAAGAGTTGACTGAAAAGAAAAAAATTGATGAAAGCGCGAAATACAACTTAATCCACATTAAGGGTCACAATAAATAAATCCAGTATCGAATGTCT